TATAAAATCAGAATATTAAAAAAAAAATAAAAACAAACTTGTATTATTGTGTTATACCTCCCAGGTTATACATATTGTGTAATACCTTCTCTAATATGGTCATTTTTTGTAAATATTTTCGCCCAACATTTACATTATTGGATCTCATGTTGCCGAGGACTGATTTTCAAAAACAGCCCCAATTATCAAGTCTAATAAATCCATAAAAATCAAACAAAATCTGCACTGACAAAATACCTGTATCTTGCCCTTGAAGGAAACATAGACGTGGTTGGAACCACGTTGCCACGTCTTCAAACACAAATAACGTTATTTTTGACCGTTCAGTACGGATCACCGCGGCACGGCTCAGTTCAGTTTCAGTTTCCCGCAGCTTAGCCTGAATGACATGGCTGCCCTACAGTACATGTCAGTTCGTTATGTGATTCAGGTGCAGTGTGCTGACACCGTTCTTCATTCGACTCAACTGTGCTGCACATCGCTGTCAATGCTCAGCAACTACACACACTTTTGGTTCAGGTCGGTGACAACAACTGCAAGTAGAGCTGCCACTAATAATTACTGTCAACTATATTTTGCCACCTTATTTTGGTTGGCTTTTTTAAAGACAAACTTTTTTTTCTCTGAATCGACTCGAGTACCTCCGGAACATAAACCATCAATCCAACCAAAGAAAATGGGAACGATAATTTCCCTTTTTTTTCCACGTACAGTAAAAAGTTAAATGTGAAATATGTGTGTCATCAAGCATTAAATGTAAAAAAGACTAAATGTTAATGTCTCACATTGGGTTTTATCGATTAAAGTATAGGCTGAAATGTCACTTTAGCTTTAAAACCAACAGCTAGGAATGAAATGGAAAAAAAAAGAAAAAAAAAAGCATTTCCTGATTAAATAGTAATTTAAAAGCCTTCAACCAAATCAGACCTAGCTGCGGCCGCCTGTGATGTCGAGTCGTGGTGCGGAAGAAAAAGGCTTAAAGAAAGTTCATGACTCAAATGACCCGTCGACTAGAAAAAAAAAAAATCTCGCGGAGGTGCTTGCATCGTGGGCTATATTGACTTAGCATAGCAGCTAAGCAGCTAATCTAAAAAAAAAATGTATGTAGCGTAGGACACCTTTTTTTGAACCAAGGACCGGTCGGACTAGTATTAGTTACTGCGTACTGGTAATACTGCGCAGTAACATTGTTGAAGGATCATTACATTTTCAAAATAAAAGAAGTAAAGAAGAAGAAGTAAAGGGATATGACTGGATTCTTTTTGAATGAAGTAAATTAGTAAAACCGAAGTACTTTTCTTTTTTTGTGTCCCACTGCGACCCGTTACCAAATGACCCACGGACCGGCACCGGTCCTCGGACCAGTGTTTGGGAACCGCTGCTGTAGGACGCATTTCAGGAAAATGATCTGAATCAGAACCCCAGACCCTACGGTAGCAACTTTTTTCAAAGACGGTAGAGAACGGTGCGGCTGTAAACCTGACTATAAATTGCGTACAGTTTGAAGCTAAACTGCATATAACAATACAGTGACTTGAACTTGGCTGCGGCCCACACAATTTATCTTCCGTGGGCCATTTAGGTTGCAGTCAAAGAGCTGTCAGAGATTTTACGCAGTGCCTCTCTGTACGGTGACTCAACAAAAACAAAACGACACGACCGTACATTAAAAAAAAAAAACTGAAGTACTTTAAATGTCAGTATCACACTGACACCACACAGTGCTGCGGAGGACTTTTTTTAAAACATGCCACTATCATCGACAGCTTCGTGATAACAATATGTCCGCAGCATTTTGGACAAAGAGGTTCGGAAACGGTTGCGCTGTGTCTGTGTAACTAATTAGAGAACCAGTAGTTCTTATTCATACCAAAAAAGGAAGGAAGAGAAAAAAAAAAGTTTGTTGCTAAACATATTCTTGGCACTCTTTATGTTGCCACCCCAACCTTTTCATTTTCTATTTGTAATGTGCTATATTCAGCAGAAGGTGTAGGTGCGGAGGTTCTTTTTATAGAGCTGAGCTTAGTAAAGCTGCTGCTTAGAACGAACCCCAGGATTAATGAATCTTCGTTCTCATGAAAGTGTTAAATATTTGACGCATATCACCACTTTTCTTGTCAAAGTTCTGACTCTAAACAGCGACGCATTTACTTACTTATCCGATAACGGTCAACGACACAGGGATTATACAGTAATCCGTGCATTCAAGCTGCACTCCTGCAGGCCTTGTAACAGAGCCCGACTCTATGGTAACCTGCAGCCTAACTGTAATTACTTTTGGAGAGTTGTTTTGTTAAAAAAAAAAATCTTCAGCCAACGTCAGGGATGTCAAATCTGTTGTGTTTGGGGTTTTTTTTTTTTTTTTTTTGCCTTGAAAATAGAAAGTTGAAAATAGAGGAGTTGACCTTGCTTGAAAATGTCCTTCAAAACATTCCAGCTGCACGGTAATACATACAATACATCCCAGCGCTAATGATGGATAAAACCAGCATTTTGGTTTGATACTTCTTACTTTCTTAGCAATTCTTAGTTTCCCGTAACCAATATCGATACTTTGTGTGATTTTTTTGTTTTTAACCCAATAAAATACATGACAGATCCGGGCCATTTAACCACTTTAATATGTATTTAGAAAATGACTAGACATGTTCGATAATATTGGCCGACCGATATTAGCATAATTATGTAATATCTGTAAGAATCGTTATCGTTTTTTCCTCCGATAACGCAATGTCTGGGTTTCGCCAAATATGCTGGAATCGCTTGTGGGGTACTGAGATGTTTACCGCAGTTTAGAGGAAAAATGGCAAAATATATCGGTATCGGTTGATATCGGAATTGGAGTGTTTGAACAATATCCGCATATTGGCTACTAGCAAAACGTTAATATCGGACATCCCTAAACAATATCCGCATGTTGGCTACTAGCAAAACATTAATATCGGACATCCCTACAAATAACATGACCTAATATATACACAGTGTAACCTAAATAGTTTAACTTCTACAGTCAGTGTTTCCCAAACTTTCTTTTCTGGGGATCCATATTTTAAAAAAGTCACAAACCTTCGCGATCCAAGTCAATAGACATTATTCGTAAACTCCTGGGAAACATGATGCGAGGCGACCCAAAAAAAAACCCACCTGAGGGTCGCGACCCAGTCTTTGGGAAACAATGTAGTAAGTGACCCTAAAGCAGTGGTTCTCAATTATTGCCCCCCCATTGGGGACATAAATGTTTCCATGCCCCTCCTGCGAACTTCTGTATGACTGCCACCTAGTGACTGGAGGCTTGTTATCATTACAGCAGTAGTACACTTATTATGTCCAGCGTGCCATATTCCATTGGAAGCCCATCAGCCCCCCTCCCCCTCCCCCATCTGGGACGGTCCCCCCTGAGGGCAGTACTCCCCACAATTTGAGGAGTACTGCCCTAAAGGATGTGGACGTCACGTATGAGCTACTTCCGTTTATTAACTAAGCATCAATTCTTTATGAGAGTAATCGATACTCAATCAATATTCATGTATCTATCCATACCACGGAATCGATACTCGATCGCTAGCACAACAACACGGCACTGTGACTGTAAAACGTAACATTAAATGTAACTCCGGACACAGACGCATCCTGACACAAAGACGGCAAAAACACAGCTCTGTTGTAGACGGGATTATTTCCGCGTCACCCTCAAGGGAACATGTTCACAACTATTGCTTCAAAACGCCACTAAAATGTATTTAAAATGCAGGGGTTTCTACAAATATATTCCCCGACCCCCTCCGCAATAGCTACACACCCCCTGGAGGGGGCTTTAGTCAATGCAGCGAGCAGCCACGACTGTTTAGAGTGTCGCCGCAACAGGCTTAAGGGTTAGGAATTACAACATTGGCCGCATTAGACGTAAACCTCCAAACTTTGCTTTTAAAACACGCCAACATAACTCACTGGTGTCACCGGTGTAAATAATATATATTATTTGGGTACATTTGTTTGAACTAACAACACTGTGTGAATCTTAAACTTTGTTAAGTGTAATTTGTGTTGGGGTTGAGTTTTCGCAGAGGAGAGCAGCGGATGTTTCCTCCAAGTTGATATAGATGGTGTTTATTCCCTCGTCTTCTTAATGATTGCGTATACGTTCACCCATATTGCCCTCTAATGTTTGTTTTTTTTTAGGAGGACTTAAAAAAAGGTCTTAAATCTAATTTGAAAACTGACCATTAAGGTCCCATCTTTTGTTTTCTAAACTTTCTAAAAAGGGCATCCATAAACGATTATTACGCAACAGCAAATAATTTCACATCTTCCCTGTAACTCTTTGGCGCCCCCCAGGGGAGGCGCACCTCAGCTATCGAAAATTGTGTGTTTTAGGCAACAGTGTTTTGCGATATACGTATAAAATTGACTTGACGTCTCTAAACCTTCTGCGCCTCTGACCAGAATACACAAAACGTTTTATCTTTACGTGCAAATTTAACAATTTTCCTAACGGAATTTCACGCATTGGGCTAATTTATTAATTTATTTGAACACTAAATTGTGTCTACGAAACAGGTCCTAAAAAAAAGTCTGAAGTTTCAGGCGGCCGTATTCGTCTGTGTCTGGTGATTCTCAACGACATCATCAGGTGTTTGGGGTCGTACATTATCATACACCCTCCCAGGCTTCCGTTAAAGCCCGTTTTAGCTAGCCCCGTGATACCCTGCCACGAACACCGACGAACCCTCGGCAGCCCACTTCAATACGGCACAGTGGGGCCTCCGCAC